TCAAATGGAAATAGTGTCTGGTTATATTTGTCAAAACAACATACATTTCACAATTCCTTTGAACACATTCTCATTTTCAATTTTTCAATCATCTAAGCACTGGCTTTCTAAGGACTGACAAGATTTTTACTATATAGCGTATATTGTGATAAAATGTACCTGTCACCCTGACGCAACCAATGTTATTCAATCCGTAATAAAGCCGTTACCCTGTACATAGCGGGAAACGTAACGGGCCACTCAGCAAACGCCTAATCGCTGGTGGTATTACAGGGTGTCCCCTCGCCACAAGCACATCATCTGATAACGTATCTAGAATCTGTCAGTGGTCTTGAAAAAGCACGCGGCCTGCCTTTAGAATCCACCACTAAATATGCGCAGTGAAATCAAACATATTTGTATCTTTTGTTTCAGAACATTGTTCACTTCATGACCCGTCCCTATTCTGAACCATGGCGTTGCAAATATTGTTGTAATAAATGTATTACACCGACTCCCTCGGCTGTGTTCCCATGGCGACAGTGGTAAGACTGGCCTCACATTTGTAAGGCTTTGAACAGTGCTGTGTTTAGCCTCTTTACACTCACAGAAATAAACAAATTCATTTCATGGTTGGTTTTAGGGGACGTTCACACGAAATGCTAAAATGCCTCGCTCTTCTTCACATATAGAATATGAAAGCCACCATTTCTGGTTTCTCTCACGATTGATTTTAGCGATCCCAAGTTGGTCATGAGCAACTTCTAGACTTTGGATCTTAACTTTACGATTGACTTAGGTAAGATTTCATTGGTTAGTGGAACGGTATGCCGATCTTAACGTCACGCTAAGATTGGATTTTAGGGGTTTACGATTGGCGTAGCCAAGATCGGTTAGTGGAACGGCAACCCAGGATATCAATGTTGTTCCGCTGTGAAGAAAAAACAAATCTGTTCTGGCATGAGGTTTGGTGGTATCACAGAACCTGTGGCGTGATTTATTGCTTTCTCCTTTGTTTCTGCCAAGGATGTGTCTCATGACCTGCCTGTAACTGAAAGTATGTCCTGCTTTGTGAAACAACTGAACAAGATCCTTTAGATCTCAAGTTACTGGGCGAGGTGTACATTTAAAGGTTTACGGAATATGGAAACACTGTCCGGTATGGAATTGACCCCAACACCAGTATGACATGGTGTATCTATCAATTCGAAGTTTCGAAGCAACATGAACTAATTCTAGGGAAGATTCTTCATTACGGTCATAAGTTGGCATTGCCAGATTTTCATCAGCCTCTGCTATTTTGAGAGATGGCGATCCCATTGTACCCAGTAGGTACAAGTAACGTTTCGCGATCAGTACCGGATCCATATGTCTGCACAAATGTAATAAACTCTGCAACGTGAAGATGAAGCTTTCCTCTGAAAGTTGTCCGGCGACTTATTAACGATCTGGGAAATGGAAGTGTTGGATTTGACTGCTAGTTGTCTCGTACCGTGTCCGGACGTCACTGAACCTGAAGAACATGAACCTTTATCTGCTGCATAATGCTACTCAACGTGTCAACTCCATGCCACTGTTTGTGTTATATTAAAGACCGTTCATAATCATGAATTGTCAATTAAAAACCTTTTTTTCATTTTTTTTTTATTCAAACAATTACAACTGTGCTCAGTAATGTTTCATAATGTGATGCTAACCATCTTGAACTATTTAACAACTAAAAGGTTTTGTTAACAAGTTATTCCTAATAGTCTATGACAGGTTTGATAAATACATTTTAAAATAATTTGGGGATAACATTTCTTTTCACAAACCCAATTTATTTATTGTTTTAATGAAAGGCAGTTCTAGAACTTGTGGTGACAAATAATAGTAACATTTCTTTAAATTATACAGTGGTCATTTATAATTCATAATATAGCGATGTAATTATTTGCTGGTAGTTTGTTTTTCAGTTTTGAGGCTCAAAACATATTTTTTTAGTTGGTATCCTATTCTTTCGTGATCAGCACTTATTTAATGTAAAAAAGAGTCAGGTTTCAACAAATCTGGAAAAGAGATATACTGTCACATGTGCTGATATACCTTAAACACCTACCAGTACTTGGAGGTGACTATGGCGGGTGTTTGTTTTTTTCAATTTTGAGGAGCCAAAACCATTTTCAGCATGAAATTCCCATTTATTCATGATCAGCACTCTATAATTGTCTTGAAAAGTCAAGTGTCCAAACTTTTACTGAATCATAGAGATACAGTCACAGGTGAAAATACTGTGCACACCTACCACTATCATCTTAGGCTATTGTGGCGGCTATTATGTTTTTTTCAATTTTGAGGGTCAAAAACACTTTCTTTAATTTGCTATCCCATTTTTCGTGATTAGCACTCTTTAAATAGGTAAAATAGCCTGGATACCAAATCCTACTAAAAATGCCTCAACATCATATATTTGAGCCTTTTGCCAGAATCGGGCTTAGTCTAATGGTGTGTGTGTGTGTGTGTGTGTGTGTGTGTGTGTGTGTCTGTCTGTCTGTCTGTCTGTCTGTCTCTGTCTCTGTCTCTGTCTCTGTCTCTCTCTCTCTCTCTCTCTCTCTCTCTCTCTCTCTCTCTCTCTCTCTGTCTATGTGTGTGTTCTCACTCTCCTTTGGGGAAACATGGTATCTTAAAGTACCACAAGTACGGAATAACTAATATTATTACTACCGGGACAATGTATAAAAACTGTTTGTTATTTGCATACGTGTATAACATATTCTGGAAGCTTATTGTTTACAAGGCTATTTTTCTTTACTACTTATATTTTACGAACCACAAGGTTTTTCTTTCAGTGTAACGTTACCAAGTGCACGTGCATTCATATTAACCAAATCATACAGACTCTGCGTATATTATGTCAACACCCTAAACTGTCCACGAAAGTATCATGCAAACATATTGTTAATATAGTATGACCAGAAATTATTGAGAATTTTAGGAATATGTTTAATTGGATTTCTAGTATAAACAACCTTTGACCAGCTTTGGTTTCATTCAAGAGAGAAACTCCGTTAATCCTTTTCATTAGTTTGTGAAGAGTTATCCCAGGTTTGTTTACTTCTGCTAGAATTACGACATTTTCAGTGATCCTCAGTATGGGTGATTTAGAGAAGAGTGCTGATTTTAGAGTATATAACAGGACACATCAGATCAGCTAAAGTGATTTCAAGTAGAACAGGCATCCCTTTGTCGTCCACTGTTTATCGTGTTTCGAAAAAATATTGCAAATGGATATGGCATTGAGCACCAGGGAGGCGCAGGTAGGTCTAGAAAATTGACTGTCGGTGACAGGAGGCGGCTTGGTATTCTTGTTTCTAAAATCAAACGAAGGAGTTTAGAAAACATAAGGCTGGATATGATTCATAGAGGAACTGTGGCTGTCTGTAAGGACACAATTAGAACTGAGCTGCATGCAATGGGTTGGCAGAAAAGTCGAGGAATTCCATCGCCGATCATGAAACCTGAACAAAAGGAGCGAAGGTAGAACTTGTGCTTACAGCATAGAAATTTTAACTGTGACAATGTGATTTTCTCAGATGAAAGTTCTGTGTGGCTGTTTCCTAATACACTGAAATTCTGGACCAAACAAACTGAAAAACCTTTGGATCATCGCCCAAAGTACAGTCCGAAATTTAACGTGTGGTGTGGCATATCTGTTTTAGGGGCAACGCCCCTCTGTGTATTTGAAGGGAATATGAACAGTGAGCGGTACACAGATATTCTCGAGGGACATTTACTTCCATCTGCTCACGTGTTCTATGGAAATTTTTCGATTTTTCATCAGGACAACGACCCAAAACATCGTTCAAAGCATTCACAGGCCTGGTTTCGGACCCAAAATATGACATTATTAGATTGGCCAAGCTATAGCCCTGACTTCAATCCAATAGAAAATGTTTGGGGACTTATGTAGGGAAAGTGTCAATAAGTAACATCTGACAAATATTGCTGAAATGAAAGAAGAGGTGGTCCGATATTGGGACAGCATGGACCACAACTTTCTAACTTCTTTGATCAGTAGTATGCCTCGCCGCATTTAAGCCTGCATTGCTGCCCATGGTGACTTGAGAAAATACTAACTGTTCACCTGTATTTGAATCTGGAGTTATTTTCTGCTAATATTCACATTTAATACGTGAGTAATGAGTGAATTTTTTTTTAAAAAATACAATCTTTAAATTCTCAATAATTTCTGGTTGTACTGTACAAATGGCATTTTCAATGTACTAGTCAATCAATCAATCAATCAATCAATCAATCAATCTTTACTTACAGTACTGAAGAGGCCGTAGGCCTACAGTACATTTTACATATTCTAGCAGAGGGTGCAATATAAAAGAATATATAGTAAATAATATCACATCTGTAATGCAGAGGTGGTCCGAACGTGTTGTCAGGCTACTATTGTGTACAGTGTGGCTGCCGTGTGATGCTGTTATTAAATGTGATATGGACCATGTGTATTACAATTCTTTAACCGTTCATTTCCGCAATTGGGTATGGAACGGCCAATGTACTAGTCATGACACTGTCTGTTTTTTATGAGATTCCGTCTTTATAACCATGTAGACAATGTAGTTGTGAATATTGTAACGTAGTGAACATATACTACATTACGAATTTAGTATTCATTCCACTCTATTCACTCATTCATTCGGGAAAGAATAACCGTAGTTACAATAAAATAATCAGTTATTCTTTGATTTCTATGCAGTAACTTATAGGTATAAGTGATAATCTAAACGTGTGAAGAGTTAGTTCATGAAGGAGTGAATGGGTGAGTTTAGCTGTACGTCGCTTTTAGCAGTATTCCAGCAATATCACGACGGGGTACGCAAGACATGGGCTTCATTCATTATCCCATGTGGGGAATCGAAACCGAGCCTTCGGAGTGACGTGCCAAAGCTTTAACCACTTGGCTACCCCCATTCATAAAGATAGTGCAAGGACATCTGATATAGTAATAAGGACATAACATAAGATATTTAGACCTTCTTTACTAAGTACATTCTAGTGCAGGTCTTCCCCAACAAATTGTCAGTCAACCGACAACAGCACTCCGCCAAAACGTGAAGATGGAAAGGCCAGTGATGCTGTGAGAGCTTGACGTCTTCACCCATACATCCTTCCCCTTGTACACATGATCGACAGTCACGATAGAGGCATGGTTGTCTTGAACATCTGCGTCCATCGCCATCCATCCGTCATTCTTCATGATATAGATGTACGTTTGAGAGTTGGATTCAGTCAGTACAAGCTCTGTCCAGAACATGTATGTTCCAGATACGGGTGCAGTGAATCTCCCTGTACTAGTGTCGTAGAAGGAGCCAGCATTGTAGAGACTGTGGCCAAATATCAAGTCTCCTCCAGGTACCTGACTCGAAGGGCTATGGACGTTGAATGCAATAGTTGGTAGTCTGGAAGGGGAAAAATCCATAACTGAGGGCATACTAGTAAACACATAGTGAAGGCGTATTGGGGAATTAGTTGGTGAGACTGTTTTTGTACGTTAACATGCGTCAGATTCCATTCACCATCATTATGCTTTATGTCAGTGAGTGAGTTCAGTTTTACCCCGCACTCAGCAATATTCCAGCTTTATGGCGGCGGTCAGTAAATAATCGATTCTGGACCAGACAATCCAGGGATCAACAGAGTGAGCACCGATCTACACAACTGAGATACGATGACATGTGTCAACCCAGTCAGCGAGCCTGACCACCCGATCCCGTTAGTCGCCTCTTACGACAAGCATGGGTTACTGAAGATCAATTCTAACCCGGACCTTCACGGGTCTATGCTTTATGTTAGCCTCATCATCTGATCAGTGTGCACTCAATTTGTATTCACAGCTTCTTGGAAAGAATGCAATCTAAGCTCAGTGCGAGGCACTACAAGTTTACACTACCACTTCCTTATGTATATTCAGACAAGGAGACACCACATGGTTTACATGTGCTTCAGCATGGGGCAGCCCAAAGACCTAGAAACCAGATCACCCATCCAACCACTGTGGGCAGCCAACGTTTTCTATCTTTGCCTGATTTGTAACCTGGGTGCACTTGATCATTACGGAACATAAGCCAGGGCATAATTACTTGTTGGAAGTAGTTGTTATGGTTACATTCATGTGCTATTCTTTGCGTACAGTGATTGTTTATGTATTCAGCAATTTCGCATCAACGATGGTATAAATAACTAACATGCAAAATCAATATTGTCATCATGGAACAGTGTCCAATACATCACATGTGTAAAACAAAGAAACAGCAACAACAGGCATCTTACCGAGAGCTGGGGATCTGTATAAAACAAAGAAACAGCAACAACAGGCATCTTACCGAGAGCCGGGGATCTGTATAAAACAAAGAAACAGCAACAACAGGCATCTTACCGAGAGCTGGGGATCTGTATAAAACAAAGAAACAGCAACAACAGGCATCTTACCGAGAGCCGGGGATCTGTATAAAACAAAGAGACAGAAACAACAGGCATCTAACCGAGAGCTAGGGATCTGTATAAAACAAAGAAACAGCAACAACAGGCATCTTACCGAGAGCTGGGGATCTGTATAAACACAAAGAAACAGCAACAACAGGCATCTTACCGAGAGCCGGGGATCTGTATAAAACAAAGAGACAGAAACAACAGGCATCTTACCGAGAGCTGGGGATCTGTATAAAACAAAGAAACAGCAACAACAGGCATCTTACCGAGAGCTGGGGATCTGTATAAAACAAAGAAACAGCAACAACAGGCATCTTACCGAGAGCTAGGGATCTGTATAAAACAAAAAACAGCAACAACAGGCATCTTACCGAGAGCTGGGGATCTGTATAAAACAAAGAAACAGCAACAACAGGCATCTTACCGAGAGCTGGGGATCTGTATAAAACAAAAAACAGCAACAACAGGCATCTTACCGAGAGCTGGGGATCTGTCCTGCTATAGCAGACATGTTTCTTTCCAAATTTCTGACTTCTGAGTTTGTCAAACTGAGATTCTTTTGTGTTGTGCGCAGATCTCCCATTATAGACATCGTCGTCTGTGAAATCTGTGCCAGGGTCTTCTTGTTGTCAACAGACTGATTCTTTTCAACAGCCATGTCAGTTATCAAAGTTGTGACATCTGTCCTTGTGAGATGGAGATTACTCTTCACAGTTTGTAGATCTGCATTGACCGACTGAAGATCATGCGTGACATTCAGTGACTGCATCATCTGTGAAATCTGTGTCAGAGACTGCGTACAGTTAAGAGACTGATTCTTATCATTTTCCATGTCTGTTTTCAAAGCTATGACGTCTGATCGTGTTAGACTGAGATTGTGCTTCGTACTTTGTAGATCTGCATTTATCAAATGTAGATCATGTGACACATTCAGCATGTCTCCTGTAGCTGCTTTGATGGCTTGTTCAAACTGTGCTAGCTGCTTTGACGTGTTTTGGGCGAGAAGATTTGCAGATTTCATGTTTTCGATTAACTGACTTTGAGCAATTAACTGGAAAATTGGAGACGTCCTTTGAATGAATCCATCTGCTTCCCTCTTTACATCATACACGGTAGTGTTCATAAGATCCAGTTCATCTCTTAACATCTTGACATCAGGCTGCACACTTTTTTACTTGTGCACTATCAGATGCCATACCAAGACTGGTTGAAATTAAATTCGTTTGATTCAGCTGCAAATTACCCTTACCCTGAATCCCAATGTCCGCCTTCACAAGGTTCAGTTCGTCTGTCGACAGCTGGAGGCTTGCCTTCAAGGATGTAACTTCATCTTTGAGAGAGGCAATTTCCCTATTTGCCAACTGTTGTAGCGACCTACTGGTGTGCAGATCTGTTTCCAACTTTCCAGTTGCTTTCTGGAGAACAGTCACAGTCTGTTCAAGCAAGGCGACGTGGTTTATAATGCTGGAAATATCAGCGGTGCCATCAGGTTTCGTCATCGGTATAATGAACCCTGACAGCGTCCCTATAAGAAGAATACACAAAAAACACAACAGCCATAGACATATTAGTCAGTCGGCCTGCTGTTTCACATAAACTGCTATCTCAATGATGGATCACGTGACTGCTGTTTCTTCAACGATGTCAAGGTACAACGCATGACACTTCTATTTTTGCCTAGTGTACTGTGAGAAATTCACATGTGTTGTAAAAAGCTATTGTGAACTAGATAATACACAGATAAAAAATATTCGGCTTTCAAAACCATTCCCTGACACACAAACACAACTACAACTGTGTCTGATCTCGTAATAGTGTCAGGTCGTTTCATGCGTCACAATTGAATGTACAAAACCGATGAAAGTGAGTTTGAATTCCACATTTTCCCTCATTATGTTTCTTTCGTTGGTATCGCCTAGTGGCTCCAAGTGTTGTATGACCCCCAAAGAGTTGAGATTGATACTACGATGAGCCGTTTGAGTTTGACATCCAACGATCGAGGGAAAATTAAAGCGCCTTTGAGCAGCCGAGCTGGTTATTGGCGCTATACAAATATCAGCATGATAATGAAGATCAATTCTAACCCTGCTCTTCACGGGTCGTATTACGGATTATACCTAGGGAAAATCAAAGCGCCTTTCAGCTGCGCTAGTTATTGGCGTTAAACAAATGATAGTATAATAATAATGTTAGTATAATAATAATAATCATATTAGTATTATGCTTAATACCCCGCTGAGCAAAATTCCAGTTATATGACAGCGGTCTGTGAATAATCAAGGTTGTGCTAGAGATGATCATCATGAGCATCGATCTATGTTCAAAAGCCTTTAAAGGCAAAAGCATTGCCTGGTGTTTTCGTCTTTTTACCACATTTCTTCGTAAAAGTGTCGACACGGGTGGCTCAGAGGTTTTCGCTATGCAGAGATCCGTGTAAGAACATACTCATCACACACTTGTAAGGTGATCCTATTTCCGTTCCGTACTGTATTACCTTTACCTGACATGGTCTCTAAATCAATGGCTTGAATGATCGTGAATTATAAATATAATTGAGAACTAATTCATGACAAAAACAGTTGGCAATACCATAAATCATTCACAATTTCTGACCCTGGCTCATTGTTGTACGCGTATTGCGCCGATAGGTACCCATGCCACTAACCATGGCTCTTTTATTTCATACCGCAAACCAGTTAAACCTCGGACCCGAACTAATTTCCAAACAAACAAGTAATTTGCAGCAAAGTTTTACTCAGGCTAATTCATTTTTTGCGCGTGTTTATTTTAATTGAAGTGGCTATTGAGAGAATATTAACACTGCCGTGCCGTCTGACAGAGCAGCCACTGTGCACGATGGAGACGACGTGTGGGTTATAACTCCAGTGTACGTCCTGTTCATCACTGATCCTTATATACGGTCTGACAGCATCGCCCCTTTGGGCAGTCGTGCACGCAATAAGTTCAGACCCCTCTAGAACATGCGGCTTGTGTCAAGCAGTGAGAGTTTCAAGTAGAATCCGGAAACAGATTTTATTTATAGAAACATCTGTAGGTTAAGACCAACATGGAACTTAGGTTACAGTTAAACTTCTTAATAAAACTGCGTTCTCGGACATATTTCAGCAAAATTTGTCTTCCTTTACTGATAAATGGAAGATACATCCCTGACCATGACTACACATACATACTGCATCTAGCAGTCACGTGTAGCAAACAAACTGCAAGTTACCATTTGTACGACTTCAAGCCATGGGGAAACCAGACCTTATAGTTTTTCAGGAATTAAGATATTGGATACAGTTCATTTTCATGCAATTTAGATGCAATGCCTTGCGAAATACATCAGATTACATTCATTACCTTCAAATCCAGCACTTTTCCGATGGTCCCGTCAAGATGTCCCCACTACAGCGATGGAATACCTATAGTTGTCAGTAGGTTTTGCGAGAGGTCAGAGGTACGTAGCTAACGGAGATTTGGGTGGACGTAGTGTGAGTGTGGAACCATGGAAGCAAAACATGTTTATACCATCTAAACCTGGCCATGGTTAAAATAGGTAAGACCACTCGGAACCCGTGTTTAACCGTTGAAATACTGAGGTAAACCCCGAGGGTGCTTATTAATTTGTTTTGAGCGCTGTATAATTAACTTTTAGAATGATTTAATTAGAGAACATGGTCATGAGGGCCAATACACGATCAATAAGTTTTCGCTGAAATCCATGATTTTTTCAATACATAACCCGAATTCAAATACACTTTGCTATGGGAAAAATGAGAAAATTTCAACATTCCTTTCACAGGTAAAATTAGAAGTAGAAACAAATCCTCTCACATTTATGAAAATGACCCACCCAAAAAGAACTCCCCGCTCGCATCTCCATCCATCTCAATATCCCAGAGACACACCTCCATATCCCAGAGACCCATCCCCATAGCCCCGCCACCCATCGCTATATCCCAGAGACCCATCTCTATATCCCAGCCACCCTTCTCCATATCCAAGAGACCCATCTCCATATCCCCTCCACCCAACTCCCTATCCCCGCAAGGCATTTCCATATCCCAGAGACCCATCTCCATATCGCCGCCACCCATCTCCATATCCCAGATACCCATCTCCATATCGCCGCCACCAATCTCCATATCGCCGCCACCACTCTCCATATCGCCGCCGCCAATCTTCACATCCCCACGACCCATCTCCATATCCCCGCCACCCATCTCCATATCCCAGATACCCATCTCCATATCGCCGCCACCCATCTCCATATCCCTGCCCACCCATCTCCATATCACACATCCATATCCCTCTCCATATCCATATGCCACCCATCTCCATATCCCTGCCACCCATCTCCATATCGCCACCATCCCATCTCCACCCATCCCATATCCCAGACACACATCTCCATATCCCAGATACCCATCTCCATATCGCCGCCACCCATCTCCATATCCCTGCCACCCATCTCCATATCGCCGCCACCCATCTCCATATCCCTGCCACCCATCTCCATATCGCAGCCACCAACCTCCATATCCCTGCCACCCATCTCCATATCCCTGCCACCCATCTCCATATCGCCGCCGCCAATCTTCACATCCCCGCGACCCATCTCCATATCTCCGCTACAAATCTCCATATCGCCGCCACCCATCTCCATATCCCTGCCACCAATCTCCATATCCCAGACACACATCTCCATATCCCAGATACCCACCTCCACATCCCGCCACCAATCTCCATATCCCAGATACCCATAGAGATTACTAAACGAGTGTCTGTCAGATACCATTTATCTTACAACGAGTTGTTTCAAAACGTATTTAACGAGCGAAAGCGAGTTAAATACGTTTTGAAACAACGAGTTGTAAGATAAATGGTATCTGACAGACACGAGTACAGTAATCTGTTTCTTACACACCATAAAATCGCACCATTTTATGGTCGAATAGATTCAAATTTCATGTTTTTTTAATCGTACGTGCGCAATAATACACAACACAACGTTTATGAATGAGTGACGTCACTTGGCTTCCTAATCACTACTCATCCCAATGGTGACCCTCCACAAAAAGGTTTCTGCCACCTCTTCGCATCATCAAGGCAATAGTGATAATGATAACTAGGTAAGATCACAGAAAATTAATTAAACCCTCTAAAACGATGATGTTACCATGCAAATGTGGATGATTTTAATTCTTGCAAGCGTAAAATATTTGAGCGAGTGACGTCATCGTTATCGCTTGGTGGTTGTCGTCATCGGAAGATTGTTTTGGATATCTCTGCACATTGGGGACTGTACTTGTGTACCAGTTTACGTTCAATGTTCTCCCATCTTTTGAGTGTGTGTAATTAGGTGCACCCAGTGTGCTTGAATGTGACATTGCTGAGGTTACGTTCACTATCAATGGGGGACTACTCTTCTTCGCCACATCCTTCTCGTTTTCCCCGAGCCAGAAACTGCCACTTGGAATGTAATGGAATTTACGGAGTTTTCAGTATGAAATGTGAGTTGATTACATCCTGTAAGTTATCAAGACATAAACTTTTCATTATCATGCGTCGAAGGAATATCTTGAGCAATGACTTATGTGTAGATCAACCGTTCCTGTACATGTTCGATTGAATAGAATGGACGTGTGCCGCCATTTGCACTCATGAATCCTTGCAAAACGTACCATGTCGTACATTGTTTCAACGAGTGTGTTTTGGTTCTGATTGTCATGAGTGAATTTGATAACATTGGAATCACATAGGTGTACTCTCTCGCAGCTGGAAGTGGGTCTTCATCATGTGTATCAGTGAAAAATGTCATCTTATCAATGCATCAAAGAAACAACGAGGCAAATCGATCTCACAGTGGACAGGCACTGACGTTATCGTGTCAGGTATTTTTGCAAGACGACACATGACACTTGTCGCATCTCTCCAGTAAAAGTACCAGTGTTGTACATTTTGAATATTCGAAGGGAATCAAGGGCTTTATCTCTAACGGTGATTTTCACATAATTGTTTACACAGGTATCACTGATTGTTGGAGCCATTTTGAATTCATGACTAGGAATCAAAAGTTTTAATAAAAGGAATTAGAAAATAAATAGATTCGTGTTGTATTTATTCTACTTGTGACTCATTGTATAAATACCTGTTTATGTTGCAATCGCGAAAATAACAGGTAGGTGTAAAGGGGTATTTTTTTACACGAGTAACAGATTTCTGTTCGATTGAAGCACGAGTAACTTATCAATGAATTTTAATCAGGAAAGTAGTCCGTCATAACCTGACCCTAGGTCATCACCATGGAGTAGCCAATCACGGGATTAGAAATCGATATCACACATATGTGTGATACCAGTTTTCTCACATGGGTTTCTCAACCACGGGTGTGTAAGAAATCTCCATATCCCCGGCACCAATCTCCATATCCTAGATACCCATATCCATATCGCTGCCACCCATCTCCATATCGCCGCCACCAATCTCCATATCCCTGCCACCCATCTCCATATCCCAGATACCTATCTCCATATCCCTGCCACACATCTCCATATCGCCGCCGCCAATCTTCACATCCCCGCGACCCATCTCCATATCCCCGCTACAAATCTCCATATCGCCGCCACCCATCTCCATATCGCCGCCACCCATCTCCATATCCCAGACACACATCTCCATATCCCAGATACCCATCTCCATATTCCTGCCACCGATCTCCATATCCCAGACACACATCTAATATCCCTGCCACCAATCTCCATATCCCAGACACACATCTCCATATCCCAGATACCCATCTCCATATCCCGCCACCAATCTCCATATCCCAGATACCCATCTCCATATCGCCGCCACCAATCTCCATATCGCCGACACCAATCTCCATATCGCCGCCGCCAATTTTCACATCCCCGACACCCATCTCCATATCGCCGCCACCCATCTCCATATCCCAGATACCAATCTCCATATCGCCGCCACCCATCTCCATATCGCCGCAACCAATCTCCATATCCCTGCCACCCATCTCCATATCCCAGATACCCATCTCCATATCGCCGCCACACATCTTCATATCGCCGCCACCAATCTTCACATCCCCGCGACCCATCTCCATATCCCCGCTACAAATCTCCATATCCCAGAAACCCATCTCCATATCGCCGCCACCCATCTCTATATCCCCGCCACCCATCTCCATATCGCCGCCACCCATCTCCATATCCCTGCCACCCATCTCCATATCGCCGCCACCCATCTCCATATCCCAGGCACACATCTCCATATCCCAGATACCCATCTCCATATTCCTGCAACCAATCTCCATATCCCAGACACACATTTCAATATCTCTGCCACCAATCTCCATATCCCAGACACACATCTCCATATTCCAGATACCCATCTCCATATCCCGCCACCACCCTCTCATATATCCCAGATACCCATCTCCATATCGCCGCCACCCATCTCCATATCGCCGCCACTAATCTCCATATCCCCGCCGCACATCCTCATCTCCATATCCCAGATACCCATCTCCATATCGCCGCCACCCATCCCACCACATCTCCATATCCACCCATCTCCATCCCGCAACCACTCCATATCCCTGCCACCCATCTCCATATCCCAGATACCCATCTCCATATCGCCACCACCCATCTCCATATATCCTGCCACCCATCTCCATCCCTGCACATATCTCCATATCATAGCCACCCATCTCCATATCCCCGCCACCCATCTCCATATCCCTGCCACCATCTCCATATCCCAGACACACATCTCCATATCCCAGATACCCATCTCCATATCCTGCCACCCATCTCCATATCCCAGACACACCATCTCCATATCCCAGATACCATCTCCATATCGCCGCCACCCATCTCCATATCCCTGCCACCCATCTCCATATCGCTGCCACCCATCTCCATATCCCAAGCCACCCATCTCCATATCCCAGATACCCATCTCCATATCGCCACCCATCTCCATATCCCATCAGCCACCTATCCTCCATATCCCTGCCACCCATCTCCATATCCCTGCCACCAATCTTCCACATCCCTGCTACCCATCTCCATATCCCGCCACCCATATCTCCACATCCCACTCCATCTCCATATCCTAGCCACCAATCTCCATATCCCAGACCACACATCTCCATATCCCAGATACCCATCTCCATATTCCTGCCACCCATCTCCATATCCCAGACACCCATCTCCATATCCCTGCCACCAATCTCCATATCCCAGATACCTATCTCCATATCCCTGCAACCTCATCTCCATATCCCCCACTTATAACCCCATTTCCATATCCTAGCCACCCATCTCCATATCCGCTGCAACTGATCTCCATATCGCCGCCACCACCTCCATATCGCCCGCTTACCAATCTCCATATCCCTCGACACTCCATCTCCATATCGCCGCCACCCATCTCCATATCCTAGACACACATTTCTCCATATCCC